CACATCTTCCTCTCTCACTTGAAAAAATTAAAATTATTTTTTAATTTTTTAAAAATAATACTAAAAATAAAAAAAATCTCATTTAGTATTACCGCTATAGACTTCAAATTACTTTGAACTGCCGTTGTATGCATGTCACTTTTTTATGCATAGAATAAATAAATGCATAATACGAAAAAATAACTTTTGCTTAGCCTTGAAATAAAAAAAAAAATGAATTTACCGCTTGCCTTAATCAATAATTTTGTTAAATTTTAATCATTTCACGATCTTAAATCTATAATGTATATAGGATACCTCCTATCTAATTTCACATTATTCCTTTAATGGACAATGGAATTTATATAATAAAATGTTGACAATTATTAGTAATTAAAAGATTCATTATAGTAGTAAATGGTCATAAACAACTTGTCTAACTCGGAATCGGACCATTCGTTATTCTTCTCAACCCCAAGATGTCATTACATATGTCATAAACTTTCCCAACTGTTACACCAGAAAGGATGTATATACAAGTGGAATGTTGTCCACCGCCGGACAAACCGTTTGGCACACGGCACGCAACGCGTCCCTGATTTGTATGGATGACACGTGGAAGATGACCATTTCCAATCGGGGGGAGTACACTTGGCATTTGCTTTCGCTTTTGGCCACTCCTAGTCCCAACTGTTTCGGACTGGTACGAAGTAGACCCCCGTCTGTTTGGTAGTTGTTGTTATCTAGACGCCAAGTGGATAGTATTATCCGTGATTAGCGACCTCGTAATACTTGCCGTGTAGACACCTCATACGTTGCTAATTAATCGGTTAATCCCTTATTAGTGTGCAAGGGACAGATAGGTCAACCTCATGTCATGTATGAGATTTATATTATTTATTAAAAAATAAATTGAAATAATTGATTGTTTATTAGTTGGGAGTAATGATTGATTATAAATTTCATGTGATAGACTTGATTGTAAGAATTTTTTTCATTTTTACTTTATTAATCCAAATTTCAAAGAAAATAAAATATTTGGAGAGAACGATTGCCTATAACTCTCACTATAGAATTGATAGTGTTATAGATGGTTAGTTATTTTACTGATGGGCAAAATTATTTGAATTTAATTTATCGATTTAATTATTTGATTAAACGTCGACTCAACATTTTTTCAAATTTACAACCAATTCAATGGTTGTAATTTATTAGATTAGTAAATTAAGTTCAAATGATGGATAATTAAATAAGATAAGAATTTTGAATTTAGGCTTTACGAAAATCATTCAGAAATCCATTATAGTCACAAATATTTTTTAAGAAAAACGGTTCAATAGAAATTTGGCAAAATTGAGAGATATAATAAGTAAGATTGTAATCAACAAAAATATTCTCACGGAGTCTAAAAAGGATCGAACATATACGATTTCATTTGAAGACGTTTAGGTCATATTGAAAATAATCGTCAAAATTACGAAAATTAGCGGAGCAAATTAAATTTAGTGTAAACTTTTGAAGGCTACAACCGTGCCTATTGGTCTCCATTGGTGTTCACTATCATATTATTTTAACATCAAGTTTTTTTTTTTTGGTACATAAAATAAATATACAGATAGATCACTTCACATATCCGTTAAAAAGTATTGTTTTTCACCATCACACAATTATCTATAAGGGACTTCACCGCACCTTTGTCAGAACCAGAGCTAAGGTCGCACAGTATACTCAAGCCATTGAAAATTAGATTTAATTTCAACGAACTGTCGTAGTTATAAAATTCAAACTCAAACTCAAATTCAAGTATTGAACAAAAAAATTTTAAATTCGAATAAGTTTTTCCTTTCTAGGAAACGTGAGTTATTTCCCCCTTCGTCATGCTATGGCTATGCATGAGCTCAGCAGCCCTCCAGTGTGAACGTGAAAATAAGGCTAGTCCAATTTGAAAAATTAAATAATAGAAGATAATTCATACACTTCGTCGACTCCTAATCGAACATGCAAGCAATTATCTTATGGGTAATTCAACCATATCAAAAATTATTATTATTTTTCAAATTCAAGTAATATTTTTAAAAGGTAAAATTATAAATAATTAAAATAATTCATAATCGATCATAAATAACCCTTATCAATCATAATTTTTCCTTCAAAAGGTATACTTTGACTTTTAAATTTTGTGTAATAACATTTTAGAATCAATTAAATTATTTACAATTATAACTTAATTTAAAAAAATTATTAATTTCAATACAATATCGTATTATTTCCCTTAGGCTTTGGCCCGAATGGATACCGATTTTTTTTATAAAAAAAAAAAAGGTTTTGGCGGTGGCGGCTGCTTTTTGTGCCGGAAGTTATGGCGACGAAAGAGAGTGTGATATTATTAAGTGTAGAAAGAGTTTCAAACTGGAAGCGATAGATTTATAGTGGAAGAAAAGTGCAAGTAAGGTTTCCGAAGTCATACATTGAATCTTTTGCTTTGATTTGCATTTAAATTCGTATTAGTCTTCATCTTTGTTTCTCCCACTTGAAGATATCCTCTTCCACCTATTTTTTAACTTAATTGCGAAGTATACGAAGAAATGACGGAAAAATTTTAAGATTAAATATTATATAAAATCATGAATCTGATTCTTCATATTTGTGATTAAGTTTTTGAGAGTTGTGCTTGTAATCCATCCGAAACAATAATTTTATTTTTTTTATTAGTTTAAAAGATAATTGGATTTTTTTAAAATACTTGTTTTTGAGATAAGTCCTGCAAGAAAATATATAAATGACTAAATCCATGTTTAAAATTATATGTAATGACTTAAATCTATTTTTTTTTATCTCAAAAATATCATTCCTTGAAAGGAAATTAATTTTTTCTCTCTCATATCTATCTATATTCATATATAGGTTAAGAGTTTGATTAACATTAAAAATGTTTCTCTCTCTTATATATCTATATCCATATATAGGTTAGGTATATATATATATATCTATATAGTAACATTAAAAAAAGAAAATAGTTACATTCAAATACAAAAAAAAAATTACTATGAATTTGAATAGTAAAATTTAAATTTATGTTACTATTTTTTTATTATGTTACTGTTCATGTTAATGTTATTACGTTACTATTCATGTACTATTATTTTTGAGCATGTTACTGTTTTTGTTGACCATGTTATTACTATTATTTTCTTAAATATTAATATTCAATGTTACTATTTTTTTTTTTTGAATATTACTATTTTTTGTAATTGAATAGTACTATTTTTTGCGTTTGAATTTGAGAGAAATAATTATTGTTAAGTAAGTTACAGTTTTTGTTAAGCATGTTACTATTTTTGTTGAACATGTTAATATTTTTGTTGAACATGTTACTGTTGTTATTTTTTAAAAATATTAAGATTGAATGTTTCAATTTTTTTTATGTTTAAATGTTACTATTTTTGGTGTTTAAATGTATTATTTTTTATGTCCAATTGATAACTTTTTTTTGTATTTGAATGTTACAATTTTTTATTTTTAATGTTACTATATATATATATATATATATATACATTTATATAACCTATATATAGATAGATAAAAGAGAGGAAAAATTTTAATATTAGTCAAACTCTTAACCTATATATGGATATAGATAGATATATGAGAGAAAAGATTTTAATGTTAGTCAAACTCCTAAGATTTATGTGTTTTTAATTTTTAGTTTTATTCCACTTCTAAAGGGAAGGGATAGTATAATAAAATTGATAAAAGACGGACTTAAGTTCAAACAAGTTTATATAGGGGGACCGGCCTCTAAATTTCCCTTTTTTTTAAATACTTGTTTTAATATGTTAATAATTTATTTGAATAACCAGTGTATTGCCTAGCCCATAAGAAGATTTTGGGTCAAGCGTAGAGGTGGCAAATAGATGAGTTGAATTAAATTGGATTGAATTAAAATAAATTTAATTTATTTTTTACTCACGTATTAAATAATGTTTATAATAGAAACAATAAAAAAATAAAAATACACACATAATGGGTCGAGACGACTGTGGTCCATGGGTCGTGGGTCTTATGCACTAGTGTGTGTGTTTTGATGTATTAGTGTATATGTGTGTATTCTTTGGTGTATTAATGTGTGCATATATTTTTTGATATATTAGTATATTTATTTGATTTTATTATTTTGGTTATTTAATAGAAAGATAAATACTCAACCCAAAGAGTATCCATTTACAATGCATATTAACTTGCTTAATTAAAATGAAATAGATTACCCAATTCATTTAGAACCGATATTAATTAATATAAGTGTCCAACCTATTTATTTATGAACGAATTGAACAAATTAATGAATAATAAATTAAGATTGTTACCTCTTGTCTACAGAATTGCCCAAGAAGAGCAAATCTCCAAACTTATATTGAATGCTAGAACTCTAAGGTGGTTGATAGAACTTTAAGATGTATTTTAAGTATTCTTTGGGAAACAATACCATACCCAAAAAAATACCTAAAGTTATAATTTTTTATGATAAAATTATAAAGCTATGATCGATTATAAAATTCAGTATCGATCACAACCTTTCTTGATCGATCTTTTTTTTAAAAGTTGTAACCTACATCTCAAAAAAATTAAAACTTAATCTTAAAAAATTATAATTTTTGTTACAGTACTGCCAACGATACCATAACCTTTCATATATTCTTTTATTGGAATCCAAATAATGCGAAATTGGATTGAATTTAGAGTATGACGTTTAGTTTAGGAGCAATGCTACTCGAAAAGTTTCAAAAATCAACACAGCAGCCGATTTGCCTGCAATATATCATCCTTTGGAATCATTTGTTGCTCCGCTATGTCAGGCTTCATTAATTAACTAAATGAAAGAGTTTTCAATTTCCAGATTTGTGATTTTCAAATTAGGGTTCACTGAAATAAGATTTCCAGGTATAGTGACTGAGCGTACACTCCATCTATAAGTTGCTAGTTCAGCTTATGATGATAGTTTAGTAGTACAAAATAAGTCGAAGTATAGTACATCGAAGTTCTCTTGAACAACTCATCAGTCAGAATACCATTCCAACATGCTAATATATCCACCAGGCTTGAAATAGTTTGTTTGTTCAAGAAAGAGGTAAATGGACATTTGCATTTGAATAAACATTAGATCAGCCAACGACTGATGCAATTTCAGTATATTATCAGAAGCAAATGTGTCCAAAACTACTAAAGATCAAGCAGAGCATTTTGAAATCTCGGTTTATGTGGTAGGATTGGGGTAGGCTTTCGGCTTTGGCTTCACTTCAACTTCATTTACGCTGCGGACAAATATGCCATCGGGTTCATGACTGCAAAATGATAGGAGAACCAAGAGTTAAATCAGGAAAAGAATGAAAAGAGCAAGAGAGACTGGCTGAGATCGAAATTCATTCTTACGGTTTATCTCCTTCTTCATATGTATAACTTGATGCAACTGCCAATAGTCTGCCGTCTCTGCTGAATGATAAGGCTGCAACGCTTGTTGGGTATTTCGAGTACTGCAAATTGAATTTAGAAAAGAAAATCAAGATACCAATATTAATAACTATGTATGTACCCAAAAAAACCTACACATAATAATAATAATTAGCTCTGGATCTATATACCTGATACAATCTTTTCTTGTTGTTTCCATCCCACACATTGACATAACCATCACAACCCCCGGTTGCAAATGTACCATAGCTGCAGTTTGAATTTGTAAGTATGAAATGATAATTAGCTAAAAGAAGTTGTAGTTATCCCAACTTAGATAGAAACCATCAACTTGTAGCTCAACCGAGTTCAATGGTTCTGTTCAAGTTTTGAGTGAAGTAGCCACATCATAAATTATTTTTTTATAGTGCCAAGCAACAACATGCGTTTGTAGCATTTGCAACTATTGTGTTTAGTTTTTATTGATGAGCACCAAATAGGGCAAATGACTTGAGTTTCTGGCCTAACCTATTCAACAAGATTTGAAGTGTCAGAGCATGACTGCATCCAAAGAGACATATCATGTGCCATCACTTCAACGTATGAAAAGATTCTTGCATTCTTTTGCATGAAGATTGCATCTACTTATTTTTCAGACCCATCTAGTAGATTGAGGACTTCTGGCAGGTTAGATCCAGAAATAAGCAAACCAAGATGATCATTCTAAATTAACGCAATAAAATTCTACTCCCAGCTACTTGAGAAGGGATGAATCTAAGTTAAGCAAGATCTCAATCATAATCAAGACACTTGCAGCATCAAAGCACTAATCATCATGCCATATACAAATGCTCATCCAAAAATCTCCACCAAGAGAATAATTTTTAGAAACTTACATAGGGTGAAAGGCAATGGCATTAACAGGGTAGACAATGTCCCTTCCAGCTTCCGATTTTCGATGACACTTGAAGGCATATCTGGAGAGAACTTGAAAACATCAACAAGCAGTGCAATAGTTGATGAATCATACCATGAAACATGCATATATAGAAATGCCTGCAATTTCATTTTATTTCTATCCTGATGGAATAGAATTTACTATTCTTCAGTTCCCTAACTGCCCAATCACCAATAGGCTCGCATCAAATCACCATCAAAAGAGTGCCGCAATTTCACTTCAAATTTTACAAGGGGTGAATTACAATTTATACCCTCAAAGTTTACATTTAATTTCTATTTGATCCCTCAATAATAAATTGCAACAATCAAGTCCCTATGACCAAATTCATCAGTAATTATGAAGAAAAAGCATTACGTACCTCAATCACATATATAAGTTTGAGCAAATTAACTTAAATGTAAGTCAAATCTTAAAAAGGGAGTCAATACGTCCAATTGAAGTACTCAAATTTATATCAAATGAGCCAACATGTAATTTTAATACAGAAACTCTAACTCTAGAAGCCAACTTATTCAAAAATAAACCCGCAATTAGATCATGTTATGCTCCCTTGACTCTTTTCCTTTAGAAAAATTGACGAATTTGAACTAAGGGACTTAATTGAAACAGAAGTTAAAGTTTAAGGACTTGATTGTTTTAATTTATAGTTCAGGGACCAAAAAAAAATCGAGTGTAAACTTTGAGGGTATAAAATAAAGTTAACCTTTAACAAGACATTGATGTAACCCTAGATTTTCCAAGTACATTTATAGGATTGCATGCCAAGCTAACATATGGTAAGGAGTTTTATTCTTTAAGAGTTAGCTTACGAGCAAATTGGCAAGATTTAAGCAGGAAGGAAAGCAATCAAAAATGTTTATTATTTTCCCCATGGATTAGATCTCTCCCTCAATTGATTTATTTTTTCATTGTTCTTCATTTTCTATTCTGCCAAGAGAACAAACAGATAGATATTAACTACAGAGGAAGAACTCACAGATCAAGACATGGACTTGCTTTAGTTATTACGCATTACATACAGATCAATAGAAACATGCACCCTTGCAGTCAACAATATGAAAGGAACAGGATGTGCCTGCATTGGATCCACACAATCCTAGAGGAATCTAATGGTCGAGTAGCTGGTAAAAAGTCCGTGGAAAGCAATCAATAAAAAGGAACACTAAGTCACTGTATGCTTAATCATGATGCAAACTCGTACATACTTCTTGGCTTGGCCAGCCTCAGAAACATCAAAAAATTCCATTGCAACCCGGCCTTCAACAGAACTAAGAGCATAACCTGCCAATTACAACCCCGATCAACAATGAGACCAATGAATTGTATGGACAAAGACCAACAAATTAAATTAACTAGAACTAGAAGTTACATCAGACATCAACCACACAATAAATATTACCCTGTCAAAAGTAACAGAACTTGTCCAAATTGGTAGCTGTCCTATTTTTCTCTCAATTAACATGCTACGCCTGATTTTCCAATATCAAACAGGAATTTTACACATTTTACTAAAAAGGTTTGAGATCCATAAATGAAATTTAAGTGAGAGAAACTTTCCCTTTGGTCAAAAAGTCACCCCAAAAATGATTGGACTGCTACCTTAAAAGTAGTTGGGATTGCTAAGAAAGACTCAGAATGTAAAGCCCTTCTGACAACGAAAATGATTTTTACCTGTTCCATTGGGGTAACAGCGCACACATCTAGTTTGATATTTCAGCGAAGATTCCCTTCGTTGTTCAGGTTGAGACATATTCCGTAGATCATAAACATTGACATGCCTTCCAGCAGTTGCTACAACTAAGCGATTGCCAACAAGTGATAGAGAATAGACACGCTCAGGCTGTGTGTACGTCCCAACAAGTGAGCGATCCGGCCCATTTGCACCTCTAGGATCCCAACACTTCAAAGTTTTGTCCCAGCTACCAGTAATCACTTGCCCTGAAATCATAACAGATGGATGATATGTAACTGACTATCAATTATCCCATAGTTAAACAGACATCCTGATGTCTAATATTCCATACATAAATGGTTATTGATTGATACAAACTAAGAAGCACAGACGGACTTGCATTTTTGACAAAAGTAGGAGAGAGACACGTCGGGGACACGCTACAAATAATCGTGCATTATCTATCAAATAATATATTATATCACATATAAGATATAATTGCAAGTGATTCTTATGTGTAATAATCTAGTGTGTACCTTTAAGATTGAAGAGTCATAGTAGTCCATAATTATCAATTTTGTAATAGACAAAGTGAGCAAATATTTTAAGTATTTCTTCGACATAACCAGTCTTAACAATTATGTATTCTTTCATAAATAGTGATTTATCAAAATTTTAGGTTTTGTTAATTACATGTCAACACATGCTTATTTTTTAATATTACACACGCTCTAAATAAGTGTCGGACACATGTCCGATATTAAAATTTTATCTACTAAAAGAATATCAGACACCTGTCCACAATTGTCCGAAAAATGTCGGTGTCTGAGACGGATACATGTCAATGTTTCTTAGGATACTTAACTAGAGCTATGATGAATAATTTTGATTAATAAGAACAACATATATAACTATCACAAATCTGACAAGGGATGATATTTTCTAATAATTTAATGAAGGGGAGCAATCACGTCAACAATCTAACTAGTACAACAAAGCATCCATCCTTCCTTTTACACTTGAAATTGGGCAAATTTTTTTTTCCCACCAAATAGAGGAAACCTACTTAGGTCCTGTTACTAAAGTATGCAGAGAGGGGTGCATTGGATACATACCTAATTTTTGGCACTATTTGCACAAAATGGCTGCTACTGGGGTTTGAACCCAAAACTCCACAGTGGTTTGCTCAACACTCACCAAACCCCAAAATGAAAATAATACCTATGAACCCCAATTCGCAACTAGGCCCACCACAAAGCTTTTTCTTAGAGTGGAATGCCTTTTTGTTTTACACCCCATGAATTAGGCCCTACTACAATTTACCTAACTATCTGCATTTTACATTTATCCATTCATACGGTTGCACATGAAATATGTGTCAATGCGAAAACAAAAACAGTTCTTCACTAACTGCTGTAAGAAATAATTTCATCTAAGTTTTTTCATGCATAGCATGCACCATAACAAATTGGTAGAAATATGTGTATGATAATTTAAGAGCAACTAATGCTCCAAAAAATCCTAAAATTGGTGGGAGAATGTAGAAATGCCCCAGATTCACAAGAAATAGATGTATTCGTACATCATCTTACACCAGCACAAATCACAAAAAGTTAATTAGCAAAGCATGAAACTTATAATTATCAAAACCAACCTGTGGCATACGAGTATTCAATACAGCGTACAGGTGCATCATGCCTTCCTAAAATATCCTCCCTACCATAGTTGAAGACAAGCCTGCAATATTAACAGCACCATTTGTTACTTAGTGCAACGAATATCCATACACAAAGAGATCTGGGGCACAACTAGATCATACCTCCTCACAGTATTATCAGCACTCGCACTGAACCCCGAAGAATCATCATGGAAGCAACAGTCCAACACAGGACCACCGTGCATGAACTCTCCCCTCAACAGATTGGCACTCGCATCATACAATCGCACACTCTAAACAATCAAAAATATCAAATCGAGTTCAAATTAATGTCTTAAAACCATTCAATCGTTCGTAAAAACGACATATCAAACTGACCTGAGAATTTTAGATACGAAAGCTGAAAAGTACCTTATCCCACGACGATACGAGAAGATGATCACTGTGGTTGGAGAATCGTAGATTCGATATTCCATCGGACGGCGGGCTCTCGAGCTCCTGCCCAGCGACCTGTGGTACCGCCGTCATGATATTTCCTGTCTCCTATCCTGATCTAGGGGTTTTGGATAAAGAGAGAGATTGTAAAGACTAGGGTTTTACACAGTGGAAGTGTTTACTCGAGAGAGAGAGGGAAGGGTTTTTGAAAATGCAAAGCATAGAGGATTGGTATCAAGTTTGGGAATTTAAATTCAAACGATAGACAAATGGAGATCGGGCTCAGATTCAGATTCCCTCCGTCTCTCGAATGTCTACTGTCCTATGTAGTACTAGTACTGCACTTTTTTTGTTCTTTTGGCCACGTTAATGTAAATTTAGCAGCCTCCAATGTAATTATCTGGTTCTTCCATTGTAGGTTGGGAAGTAAATATTTCAATTTTTTGTACTTACTTGATACATATAGACTATGGATAATTGCACGTATTTAAAGTTTATTATAGTAGGCATAGGTTCAAAATTGTCTTGTCTTGACATTAAAAAAAAATCAAAAAAAATATTATTTTCATTTGAATTATATAAATCTCGATAATAAATAATTATTTAGAAAATCATATATACCAATACAAAGCACTCCTAAAAAAGATGAAAATAGTTAAATCGGTAAATTAGGTATAACTTTTGCTATGATATTAGTGGTTTTACACTTCTTGTCTCCTCCAAAGGTTTTTTTTAAGTACAGAGTGACTAATGCTCTATTTTGTAGGAATGATGAAAAATAAAAAAAATAAAATAAGAGAGATATACTTTATATCCTTTAAGGATAGAAAATAGAAATGATATAATTTATTTTCTTTGTGTTTGATTAGATGAATGGAAAAATAAAAATAACTAATTTTTTTTTGTACTGGTTAAGATTAGGGGTGACAATTGAGTCATGTCGTATTAAATTCGCGTTGAGTCATAAAATTATGAACCTTTTATATTTTTTGTTCACGTGTCAAGTTATTTTCAAGTTCATGTCAACTTATAATCAAGTTCGTATCATAAAATTCGTGTTGAGTTCGAACATTGTGTGAAGACTCCTCCCATTACCGGGATGTAGGTCTTCCAAGAGCATTACCGCCCTCCACCAAAGGATTTCGGCTAAAGCAGGACTCGCCCCACAGTAGCCTTTACCTCCGTCCCACATCGGGGAAAGAGTCGTCTCCCCACCCCCATATAAGCCGAAGCACAATATGGAAGCAGTACCCAAATAGCACTAGTGCTAGATGGGTACTGCTCTCATATGGTGCTTCGGCTTATATGGGGGTGGGGAGACGACTCTTTCCCCGATGTGGGACAGAGGTAAAGGCTACTGTGGGGGTTTGACCCACAGGTTAGCCGAAATCCTTTGGTGGAGGGTGGTGATATCCCGGTAATGGGAGGTTAACCCTTGGAAGACAGGGGTCCGGTAATGGACCAGGGTCTTCACATAAAAGGCGCCTTTTGAGTGAAGACCCTGCCCCATTACCGGGACCCTGTCTTCCAAGGGTTAACCTCCCATTACCGGGATATCACCACCCTCCACCAAAGGATTTCGGCTAACCTGCAGGACTCGCCCCACAGTAGCCTTTACCTCTGTCCCACATCGGGGAAAGAGTCGTCTCCCCACTCCCATATAAGCCGAAGCACAGTGTGCTACTTGGGTACTGCCTTCATATGGTGCTTCGGCTTATATGGGGGTGGGGAGACGACTCTTTCCCCGATGTGGGACAGAGGTAAAGGCTACTGTGGGGGTTTGACCCACAGGTTAGCCGAAATCCTTTGGTGGAGGGTGGTGATATCCCGGTAATGGGAGGTTAACCCTTGGAAGACAGGGGTCCGGTAATGGACCAGGGTCTTCACACATTGTCGTTGAGTTCGAGTCGTGTCAGCGTGTTAAGTTGAAAATTTTTATTAAGGTGAAAAAAATATTTTTTAAATTTAAAATTTATATATTTTTAATTTAATTTAATTTATTATTTTTTAATTTATATATATATATATATATATATACATATTTTATCATTATATTTTTATATGAAATTAATGCATACATAATATATATATAAATAAGATATATCTTAACACAAATAATTAATTTTTAATCCACTTTCCTTCTGATTTTGGAGGGATAGATTGTGTTGAATTGAAAGAAAAGGTAATTCATCAACTTTTCAATCCTTCATATTTTTCTTTCTTACCAAATATGATGTTTTATTTATTCTTCTAACTTTCCATCCTTTCATTTTTTGATCATATCGAACGAAGCATAAGGGTTGCAGCATGGAAGATTAATCTGTTCTACAAAGTTGAGTTTTTCGATTTGTTTTCCCCTATGTGGTCGACCAATGAAAGTGTCATGACATACTTCTATTTTTGTTTTTATGTTATTTTATAAAAAATAATGTTAAATAGACTTAAAACTTAGACTTTCAAATTAAATTTGATAATTTCAATCATTAAATAGGTAATAGGTCCTAATAAATGTTGAGATCTACAGTAAAATCAACGATTGAGATTATCAAATCTAATTTTTAAGTTCATATAACATTGCTCTTTTATAAATATTAAAATGATGAAATAAATTCTATCANTTTTTAAGTTCATATAACATTGCTCTTTTATAAATATTAAAATGATGAAATAAATTCTATCAACTATTTATTACGACGACCAAAGATTAAATTATCACCAAATATGCCTTTTTCTACTTCTTCTCCCCAAGTGTAGTGTGAATCCTATGAAACATGGGAATAGTTAAAACGGTTAGAAAGAGAAATAAAGTTCAAATCTTCAACTGAAAATTTATAATATACAAAATTCTGACTTCCTTTCACAAGGGTTCTGAAGTCCACCATAACCTTCTTGGCCCAAGACAACGGGCCATCGAGGCCCGCCCCAGTCCTATGATATGTAGACTGAAGAGACTCGGAGCACGGGTGCCATCGGAGCACTGTTAAAATCAGCTTGAGATGGGTTTCTATTTGACTCGGCTATATATAGCTCGTTCAAATTAAATTGAATAGCAAAATGAGTTGAATTCGAGTAATGTAGAATTCAATATCGGGCTGAGTTTTCAACTTTAATTATTCAATCGGCGATATTTAATTAGGTTTGTTATTCGTGTCGAACGAAACGGGTTCGTATTAAAAAATATTTTAATATATAAAAAATAAAAATTATTATTTTTTTTGTGAAAAGAGCCGTGAAAAAAAACAGTAATAGTAAATTGATCAAATTTTATGGTCAAGGGTGTTGACTTGAATTTATTTGATCAGTGTCATATTATTTGGACCCCAATAAAAACATCAAATAATCAACTGTTATATCATTTATGCTCTAAATTTGATCCAAAAATTTGATCGATCTAACATTTATATTTAATATATTCTGAATATCAAACTACACGATTTATTATGAATAAGTTGGCTAGTTTGGTGTGATTTACAACAGCATGCTGCGAATGAATCACTGTTACCTTCTCCCTCTCTCTCATATACACACAATCAGGCTATAGTCAGATAAACCCTAATAAATTACAACCTACCTGCTACTCCAAATTATCAATATTGAAACCTATAATTTGAGTACCTGAAGCTTCAATCTCGAATTTATCAGCTCTACAATCACACCAGTCAATGCGATGGTCGTCTGCAAATGCCGCAAGGTACGCCCCCTCCCCCCTCTCTCTATGTGCTTTTGTGTGTCTGAGTATCAGATACACGGATTCACTTTTGGATTCAATTTGCGTTGAAATGTGTTGTGTTTTCGTAATAAGAGGTGTCAGATCAGATCGAACTTGTTATTAGAAATATGAGAGATCTCAGGGTTTTTTCGCTTACTTCCTTCTAACTGATCGGGGAATTGGCATTTGTAGTCAATTACTGTCTTTATTTTCCAAGCTACAAATCCATATTGGTTAAGGTGGATTTGATAAATACGGTTGATCTACGGAAAAAAAAATAAAAAGACGTTTATACATGCATAAATTTGGATTATAGCTGGTTACTTTGCTTGATATGTGTAAATTGTACCCCATATAACTATAACTGTTTGTGGATTTACTTTGAATTTATCTATTTACTTGTTTGTTTGGGTTGTCTGATTAAGGCTAATTCAAATGCACCTTAGTTCACGTGATCAATCGGGAGTTGAAATTAACCTTTGCGCCACCTTGCATATATTGCTTGAATTTGAAGACTAACACCTGTTGGGGTTCTTTGTTTCAGGCAACTAAGTTATACTGTTTCGTCCACAAGGTCCCCGTTTGTGGGGAATGCATATGTTTTCCAGAACATGAAATATGTGTGGTATGTTATTGAAATATTGTACTAATTTGATGGTAACATTGTATGTTGTATGCTTGTTGATGAGACATCAAAATTGTTGCAGCCGTTCAGAATTTACATTTTTTACTTGTTCAATCCTTGAGTACTCACGAAAGAGTAATCCAAGGTTGAATATTATCAAGGAATGCAGCGTTTCTGGGAACTTATTAATATTAACACCTTCAAAACAACTATTATGTGTGTCATCATTTGTAACAACATATATAATAGATTGTTATTTTGCTTGTAATTCCATACAAGGCAAACCTTAAGTTATTTATGTATTCAATAACTTCACATGTACTACGAAAAAGGGGAAGAAATTTATGAAATGAGAACAGTTCTTTTCCAATAGTTGGTTAACAATTATGAAGCTCCTCACACCTTTGCCCGGGGATACTGGGAGTATGATTTATATATTTGCCACCTATGCAAGTTCAGGAAAGTGAATCTTGACTCTAAACGTTACTTTGTAATCATTATCTGAAATAGAAATATGGCTATTTTGTGATATATGTGCAACAAGCCATTCTTTGGACAAAGGCATGGAAAACATGAATCTTTTCATTATAAATTGTCTGTCTTCTGGATACTTTTAAGTTTTACCTGTCTTTTGTGTAATTTTACTTTAACAAAAAAGGTCTTTCTGTTCAGCTTGAAGTCAATGGTATTATAGAATTCCACTATACTTAAACTGTCACCTTGTTTTTAGTTAAAACTGACAACATCTTTTAACAGATCCGTACTTACTCAGAATGGGTAATAGATGGAGAGTATGATTGGCCTCCTAAATGCTGCCTGTGTAATGCTGTGCTTGAAGAGGGAACGAATTCTCAAACTACTCGATTGGGTTGCTTGCGTATGTGATCCTGCGGATATAGTCAAATTTTCTCTTTTAAACAAAGCTTCTTAAACTCATCCTCCATAACTTACTTCTCTCTTTGCTTGTTTTAGATGTTATACATACCAATTGCTTGGTTTCACATATTAAAGATTTTCCTCCACACACTGCTCCTGCTGGATATGTGTGCCCTGGGTGTTCAACTTCGGTAAGGTCTACTCACATAAGTTACATAAAGTTCCATATGTTTTAACAGTTTTTTACTTTCTTTTCGCAGCAGCATTTTAGAAGCTTAACTGCTGTACTGCAAATAAAATTTAGTGCTCACATATCAATGTTGGCAAATAGTAGTTTTGTAGAATAATGTCACCTTAATGATGGAAGATTCTGGGATATAGACTTATAGAGCAGGAACGGGAACGTGGTATACCATTTCTAGATTGTGTTACACTAGGATAGGTCACTTGAGAGCAAAGTATACCAGAAGAAAAGAGGGGTTCCTTATGAATAGTAGACGATAAATGAAATCCAAAAGTTCTCTATTTTAAAAAGGACGGTCTAGTACACGAGACTCCCATCACTGTAGGGTCTAAGAAGGGTTAGATTTATGCAGTGTTGTGAAGAAACTATTTTTATGACTCGAACCTTGATGTAGAGTCGAGCCAAGGCATAGGTGACTAGGGCTGCCGCCTAGGGCTTCCAAACTGGTTGAAAAATTTAGGGGGCCCTAAAAAATATTTTTTTGGATCCCTTAAAATTTTTAGGTCCCTAATTTTAATTAGAGTAGACAATTTTAAGTACGATATGATAAATCCATTCAAAATTAATACAAAATTAATGAGTTTGACTATAGTCTTAGTACATTTGGGAATAAATGAGTGGACTTATTGAACCCCTCAAATACATGACTCGACACGAACCTGATTAAACGTGACACAAATATCAAAACACAACCTATATATGATACAAATCCAACTATAGAAGATTATAAATGGAGTGGATATATGTTGAGCAAATGCTATCATGACATGATCGATGGACTACCTTTTTATTACTTTTATTTGCAGTCATTATCTCCTCACACAAATTTTGGTGCATTACAATCAAAATCAATTGACGAATACTATCCATTATCTAAGTTTTAAAAAATGTAGTTTTTTCCTAGCTTAAATTCATGGCCTTATTATTTGTGTTAGATGTTTTACTTAGCTGTTTTTTAACACACAAGAAGCACATAAAATGACTAAAATTGTGTAGGTGTAATTTACTATTCGAAATTCTTATTGCGTCCGTTTTATGAAATATATAATTTTGATGCATTAATAAATTTTAATTCTTCTTCTTTATATTATTAACTGATGACAGACCTAATTTTATTTTGGTCTTCAAATTCAAATTCAACTTCAATTAATGTATTGTTTATTCGTAAAACTTGAATGCAAAAATTGAATTAGTACTTTTATATCTCAAAAATAAAAAAATAAATTCTAAATGAATATATATTAATTTTTAATAATTATTTAATTGTATCTATATTATTATACTATAAAATATTGGGGCCTCGTCTAATATCTCCACCTATGGCCCCCATTTGTGTCAGGCCGCACTTGCCTTGACGCCCAGGTCTCGATGGAGCAACCTCACCACTACACCCAGACCTACCCTCAAAATTCTCTGGTTACTTTGAAAACTGTCAAAAATTATGATGTTAAAATGTTTTGGATTGCTAAGTACTGCTCTAGACTGCAAGTGTACCTTGATCTGGAATGAGGAATCCAATTCTCTAGCATATTAACTATGTTATAAAACTTGTTTTGGCTGCGTTTGTCACACGAGCATGGCTGGTTTCCAAACAATAATTTGTTGTTGCAGATATGGCCTCCGAAAAGTGTTAAAGATTCAGGATCCCGTCTTCATTTAAAACTGAAGGAAGCAATTATGCAGGTATTGCTCATGCTTGGTTGTTTCAGTATTTTTTCATGACAACCTTATTGGAACTATTTACATTTTCTTTGTTAAGGTAATATTAAATTTCAGTACGTTATCCATATTCAATGATTATGGTATAAGAATTTTACTGTGAACATATGCTTTCTTTCTTGGATCTTTCTTTGGTGTTCTTATTGTAGAATGATACCACGTAAACCCTTTGAAGGGATCTATGGAGGCTGATTCTTAGTTTTATTTCTTCTCGTTCTTTACTATTTAAAATGTAATTGTTGATTGGAGTGAACACGCCTACAAATTCTTTAGCATGTGAGGTCTTACGATGTATAGAATTGGTGTATAATGTTTGTCTGTTGGCTAGAAGTGATATAGGCAGGAAACTATTTGGGCATGTTCGTCACTGAAGTTATCTTATCAAATCGGCACAGGGTTTTCAATTTTGTTTTACCAAACGAGCAAAGTCATTGTGTTGTTTTTTCACTGTGCGATAATCTGTAATTGATCGTCAGAAAAATGTTATCTAGTCTGCTTACTTTCCAGATGTCACTTCATTGCTTAGAAATATATGGTGTGGAGGCATTACAGATTATTTTCTCTTTCTATATTAAGTATTAATGTATAGAATTATCGTTTTGTGTTGGAATGCATGAGCAATAATACATGATCACTCTCTTCGGTGTGTATCTTATAGGGGAAATATGTGATTTTATTTTTGGTCGGGTTGTAACTACTAGAAGGATCCTTTACAGTGGGGATGGAGTCAGTGTGATTCCAACCTCTCGTTGTGGCATATAGTTTATATTATTCTAATTTTATGTCGTGCAGTGTGGTCTAGAGAAGAACTTGTTTGGAAACCATCCAGTCTCGCGGCCAGCAACAGAGTCCAGAGGCCCCCCTCCTGCTTTTGCTACAGACCCTCTGATGCAAGTATCTGCTGGAGGCAGAGAGCCCAACGAGAGCTTGCCACCATCAGCAGTAGGAGATGCTAGAGGATACTCAGTTGCAAGTGGAATTGGTTACACAAAACCTTCAAGCATAGATATTGTGGAGATAGATGCTCCTGGTTCTGCTAATTCATCTCTGTCTAATCATGATTCCAGTTTCATTAAAAGCTCGAGCCCTGCTGGTGTAAGAGGATTTTGTTAATAATCATTATATGAAATTTATGTGGGTCAAAATTTTCTTTGCCCATGTACCCAATGGTTGTGTGCTTGCATGTGCATGTCTGGTTTATTTTCTTCTAGTTACTTTTGCACTTATTATTTTGTTTAATATTGCAACATGACACAGCCTGGTGCTACTACACGAAAGAGTGCAATCCAAGTTGAAAGGCAGAACTCGGAAATTTCATATTATGCTGATGATGAAGATGCGAATCGGAAAAAATACCCACGAAGAGGTGAGAGTATTTTCCTTTTAGTTTCTTATTGCTATTTCTTTCTTCCTTTCCCCTTTTTTGGAAGGCTGTATTGCTATGTCTTGTTGACATGACTCTTGGTGACAAATCTTGCTATACAATTGGTGATAGGATAGATAAAAAGCCATCTACAAATTACACCTGATACTATTTATCTATATAATAAAAAATGAGTGTTTGAATTTTGTCCCAGTCATATTTTCTCTCTTAAAACTATCACCAATCACTTACCTTACCCATTATCTTTTTATCAAACTCAAACGTCAAATCGCATTACTCATTTTTATCATATATTTAATTATTTATATATTTCCTCCCTAAAAATATCACATCACTCATTTCTATCATATATTTAATCATTTAATATTTGATTAATTTGTAGTTAATGTATTTAAAAAAAATTTAATATAGTGGTATCGATTTTTTAGACGCTTGAATTTTATATTTTATCGTGCCTTCAGACACGGGTTATAACTAGTTTTATTATATCTTCCACATGGTACATTTTATTATCTTCTTGTAACTGAATTGTTTCATGATGTTAATAAAATCAGTACCAAACTTTTTATTCCAAAATTATTTATTGGACTCGTTACTATTTTTTTTGATATCATCTTTGTTCCATCTCATTTTGTGTTGGTGACTGCTCTAGTGTTGTTCAATGCTTGCCATATTATGGAAATATGGAACCAAAATAATGNGTAGTGTTGTTTAATGCTTGCCATATTATGGAAATATGGAACCAAAATAATGGAGGTTTTAATTGTAGGTACATTCCGCCATAAGTTTCTAAGGTCACTGCTACCTTTCTGGCCGACTGGATTACCGACTCTGCCAGTGACTGCGCCGACACGGAAAGATGCTTCAAATGCTGATGACGTCCTAGAAGGTCGTCAGCGGCACCATAGATCTTCAAGGATGGATCCGAGAAAAATCCTTCTCGTCATAGCAATCATGTAATGTTTGCTTATCTTCTTTCTTGGTTACCTCTGTACATCTATGTTTGTTTTTATTCTTTTCCATTATTTTTTTGAACTTATAGAAAGAAATGCATACCTTTGTTCCTCACCAGACTAGATTATAAGTTAGAGTGAGGTATACGATATCATAATAGTAAAAGTGATAAAAAAAAAAAAATTCAAAGAATCTTTTTCCAACTATCTTGTGGTTTAGGCTCAATAGGGATTTTCCTTAGGGGTGACAGAAACAATAAATGTTTTAATTTTAGATATCTTTACTTCTATATTAGTCTTTTGTGGACAGAAAACAATACCTCTTCGACTAATGCATAATAACGTGCAGGGCATGCATGGCGACGATGGGTATTCTTTATTATAGACTCGCACAACGTGGTCTTGGTGAGGAGCTGCCTGATGATGAGCAGCAGCAATCTCTTGAAATGGTATGATGGTATATTAGTTTCTCATTTGCTAATGGTTACTTGTGCTTCAGCTGCTTCTTGTTTCTTTTGAGCTTTCACACATTCCTGGCCTACATTGGAACATACAAATTCCAGAGTCCTGTTTCTATAGAGAATTTGCACTTCTTTAATGACAGCAAATGTTATATGTCATTGCCCAAATTAGCTCCTGGCCCATTTTTTACCTTATTGTTTAAAATTGGCTGGGAATAATCAGAGAACTTATTTGCTTGATTGTGTGGGTTTCTGTAAATATAATCTTGCAATAACAATTTGGACCAAGATCAACCAAAAGTATCAAATTCTTCTTTATTTGCATAAGCCACCAGCCTACCAGAAAAAGGAGAAGGCAAACTCACAACTCGATTAATTTTTCACCCTGATGTTGGGATTAACATATTCATGAGTATAAATCTCTTTTGGCGTAACTCTTAAGGAATTGTCTAGATTTTAATTTAAGACATCTGGATTTATAAATCGTCTATGTTACTAGTTGAATTATCTTTTAGGGTTAACTCACCATATTTTGACTTAAATAGAAGGGGTGGGATTGCCTTGGTACAAAATTGGAGTCAATAATTGCAATTTTTATCGCAACGTGTCCATTCGACTAGAGATTAATGCAAGTTATCGAGTATGAAATTAATGGGGAGGGTTTAGATTCTAACCAGCTTGAGCTTAATAAGTAAATTGATGTAAACCAGTCTATGCACAACTGAATTCAGTATGAGATAAACTCAATTATTTATAAATGATTTGTGTATGAGTTAAACAAAATTTATAAAAACAAAAATTTGGATTCTCGACCCGAATAGCATCTTACTAGACCAAGAGGACTGCCCATAGGCTGGGCCAAGGGTCGGGCCAAAGGCCGAAGTCTAACATCTTTTTTTTTGGTATTCATATCAACTTCCATTGACCCCAAAAAAGTGTTGGTTGTGCTTAATAAACACTTCAAAAAGGAGCATGAAATCTTATGTTCTTTAAAAAAAACACCATGATGTTCATTTTTAAAAAAAATAAATTTAACGAGGAACCTCGATAAGACAATACTATTTTGAACCCATCTCTGCGAGAGTAAATTTTAAATAACTATAATCATCTGTAAATTACGGGTATGAGTTAAGTTCAAGGAACAACGAGAATCAAATCATTTATGTTCGATGCGGGTTATGATGTTCATATTTATTACAATGGATTCTACTAGTTTTTTTTTTTTTTTTTTAATGTGATCTATTTTGATTGATTACCAAAAAAATTGAATTTAATTTTCCCAATGCACTTCGGTTAACTTAGTAGACATAGCATCATTTCATTGGTCATTGGAACCAGATTTGACAGGGGAAGCCAATTCTGTAATTATTTTCTATTTCCTAGCAATCACAAGGAGAAGATAGTTCAGCGCAGGAAACTCTCTCCACCGTAAGATTTGTGAAATATGCATATGGCCTTACCTTCCCAGGTAGAGATGCTATTTCAGATTCTAAGGAGAAGTGATTATCATTAGTATAATATTTGTTATCAAATAATCATAGGGTTCCTCCTCTTCCTCTTCCTCTTCCTCTAGCTCTAGGGCCATTCTTTAGAAATAAAATTATAAGAAGCAAACTACATGTTTCATTATTATAATAGGCTAACCATGTCTCACTCTACGAGGCAAGACTAATTATTTGAGTCATTTAATGTTAAGTTAATCTCAATCAATTCAAGATCCAAACTAAAAGTTGCCTTTTGGCTCCTTTAACTAGTGAGGGGGTGTGCCAACTTTTTTTTTTCTTTCTTACTGTCAAGAATGTTCGAATTAAATTACGCGTATTACAATTAATCTCATTTTCAATCTGACAAAAGATAAATATTTAATACCGAGATTAAAATATTCACGAAGAATGTTTAATCACAAAATCATTTAGAATAATTTTGAATTAGAATAGAAAGATTCTTTATCGAGAAGACTTATAAATTTTCAGATTTGGTAATAGGATGGGTGGTTGAAAACTAGGGTTTTGAACTACTCGAGTTGTAAAATGAAGAACTTGATTATTATTATTTCTTGGGTCTAACTATGGTATCGAAATATAATTTTTTTAGTATTATTCATTAACCTTTTTTATCCAATAAAAGTACGACACAAAGTAAAATTATTTTATTATTTTTCATAAATTATTTAAACCGAAATAAAATCAAATTCGATACCTTAGTGCTATCCACCATCTCTGTTGTACTTGCACGTAGTGTACTACTTCAGATCCAACGCGGCGAACTGGGTCAGCATTATTGATGATGATATTCAACTCTCTTTTCATCTTTTTAGACATTATTAGTTTAGCAATAAATAAAATTAACCTGACATCATTAAGTACTTAATTTTAAAATAAAAAATTTAACACGACCACTTAAAGAATATAAATTTATGCGAAATATCAATATTATTAATTAATTAAAGCTTGGTGGGTCGTGGTGTCCACTTACCAAGGATTATAATAAATTTATAGATTATTAAACCACTTATAATTTACTTTTCTATTATATTTAATTGCAGTAGTATACTAGTATTACACTTTTATAAAAAAAAAAGTAATATTACACGAATGCTCTGTTTGGTACGATGGAAAAATGAAAGGATAGAAAGTTGGAAGGATGAAAAGTTGGAGAGATAGATAAAACATCATGATTGGTAAGGAAAGAAACTAAGAAGGATAGAAAAGTGGATAAATTAACTTTTTTTCCAACTCAGCAAAATCAATCCCTCCAAAATCGGAAAGAAAGTGGAAGAAAAGTTAATTATTTGTGTTGAAATGTATCTTATTTGTCTATATATATTATGTATATATTAATTTCATAAAAAAATATATGATAAAATATGTATTTATATATATAATTAAAAAATAAAAAATACAAATTTTAAATTTTTAAAAAATATTTTTTTCATCTTAACTTGGGGGTAAAAATTTTCGACTCAATACGACTCGAACTCAATACAAATTTTATAACACGAACTTGATTATAGCTCGACACGAACTTCAAAATGACCTGATACACAAACAAGAAATCTAAAAGACTCATAATTTTATGACGCAACACAAATCTGACACCACACGACTTGATTGTCAACCCTAACCTTAGCCATCACAAAAAAAAAATTAGTTATTTTTATTTTTCATTCATCCAACCAAATACAAAGGAAGAAAATTGTATCATTCCTACTTTTTATCATTGAAGGATAGAAAATGTATCCCTTCTACTTTTCATCCTTCCTATTTTTTATTCTTCCTACCAAACGGAGCATAACTAAAAAAAAAGAATAAAAAATATGAATAAAATAATTTGAATTTTGAATGTATAAAAGTCTAGTCACTCTTTCTCAGGAAAAATGTTATAAACCTACTTAGGTTACGAAGACTACTAGGACTAGTATTCGAATTTGAAGAAGTAGTCGATACAAGCATAGACATCCCGTAGTAAATAAATACTACCACTATGATAATATCACATCATTTGACTTCCCTTTTTGGTCTATTTTTTTTTTTGTTAATATAGCAGTGCTCATTTAATAGTTTGCTCATATCACTTTTATCCTCTATATATTTTTAAATAACCATTTACAATTACCTATAATTTTTTTAAACCAAATTTAACAGCTTAATTTTTTTTTTATCTATCCATATCTGACCTTCTATGTTTATCTATTAGCAATAATTCTGTATCTAAATACACTCTATAATATCAAAAATTGAATATTAATTGTGCGATATTTATATTTTAAGTAATAATTCATTTTTTTAACTACGCAATTTAAAATTAAAGTGAACACATCAAAAATAAGAGATGGATATGAGAGAGAAAAAAAAGGTAAGTATAGATTAATGAGGTTGAGTGCGTAAGTTAAATTATGTGACATTGAGAATTGTGCAGAGGAAATAATATTTTTGAATGGATTTTTTTTTTTTTGCAATGAATTTTGCATCATTTGATTAAAATAAATAAAAATTAGATCAATCTTAACTATTATCGTGCTTTATAAATTTTGTGATTCAAGTGCATAGCCTATCCCAATTATGATAAGAACACACGCTCGAGCAACTTTAGACTCGTGTTTTGTTTTTTTTTTTTTGGGTGATGAATGAGGAAAATATGATGGTTTAGCTTTGTACAAGGAGGAATAAAGATAAAAAGAAGATTCATAATAATTAACTTTATCAATAACCATAGTTTTTTTGCATTCAAAACATTGAATTTTGAAAGAAAGGGGGAGGGG